AGTGCTGCAATGATCATACACATGCAGATGGCACTTCTGTGTGTTTTGGGGCCCCTAAGGTATATTCCCAGAAGTGGTATTGCTGGGTCAAGTGGAAGCTCAGTTTTTAGTTTTTTGAGGAATACCCATATTGTTTTCCAAAAAAGCTAGACCAGTTGGAATTTCACCAACATTAAATGAGAGTCCCTTTGTTCCCACATCCACGCCAGCACTGGTTGTTCTTGCTCTTTTTGATGTGTTTCTGTGGTGTGAGATGATATCTCATTGTTGTTTTGATTTGCATCTCTCTGATGATTAGTGATGTAGAGCATTTTTTCATGTGCCTTTTGGCCACTTTTACTTCTTCTTTGGGGAAGTTTCTGTTCACTTCTCATTTTTTGATGGGGTTGGATTTTTTTTTTCTTGTAAAGGTCTACCAGTGTGTTATATATCTTTGCTGTTTATCCCTTACAGATGGGTATTGTGTAAATAATTTTTCCCATTCCATGGGCTGTCATTGTATCTTTGTCATCGTCTTCTTTGAGGGGTAGAAACTTTTTAGTTTAATGAGATAGCACAGCAGTAGGGCGTTTGCCTTACAAGCGGCCAACATGGCCAGCCCAAGTTCGATTCCTCCGCCCCTCTCAGAGAGCCCGGCAAACTACCGAGAGTATCTCGCCTGCACGGCAGAGCCTGGAAAGCTACCCGTGATGTATTTGATATGCCAAACACAGTAACACGTCTCATGATGAAGACGTTACTGGGCCCGCTCTAGCAAATCGATGAACAACCGGAGGACCGTGACCGTGACCATAGTCTCATTTATCTTTGCTTCCACTTGCTTGGTCACTGGTGTTTCATCTTTGAAGATGCATTTAGCTGCAATGTCATGGAGAGTTCTGCCTATGTTCTCCTTTATGTATTTTATAGATTCAGGTCTGATGTTGAGGTCTTTAATCCGTTTTGATCTGACTTTTGTGTAAGGCATTAGATAGAGGTTTGAGTTCATTTTTGTACATGTAGCTGCCCAGATTTCCCAGCACCACTTGTTGAAGAGGTTTTTCCTGCTTGTTCCTCTATCAAAGATTAAATGATCATACATTTGAGGGTCTGTATCAGCATGATATGCAACTCTTTTCCATTGATCTGTGGTATTGTCTTTATTCCAATACCATGCTGTCTTAATTACTACCTCTTTGTAGTACAGTTTGAAATTGGGGACAGTAATTCCTCTGGTCTTATTCTCAAGGATTACTTTAGCTATTTGTGAGGGTTTGTTTTTCCATATGAGTCTCAGAAAAGTTTAATCTAATTCTTTGAAAAATGTCATAGGTATACTTATAGGGACACATTGAATCTGTATGATGCTTTGGGGAGTGTTGCCATTTTTACAATGTTAATCCTCCCAATCTCTGAGCAGGGGAAGTTATGTCCATTTCCTCGTGTCCTCTTTTATCTCTTGAAGCAGTGTTTTGTTGTTTTCTTTGGATAGGGCCTTCACTTCTTTAGTTAAGCTGATTCTGAGGTACTTGATAGAAAAATAATTTTACTGTCTCTTTATATTTACCTACAAGCTACCAAGAGTATCTCGCCCGCACGGCAAAGCCTGGCAAACTACCGGTGCCAAAAAAAAAAAAACCATAACAATAAGTCTCACAATTTGTTGTGAAACGTTACTGGTTCCTGCTCAAGCAAATCGATAAACAACGGGAGGACAGTGCTACATATATTGTAGCTCTTTATTTCTTTGTATGAATTTACATCCGGAAGAACTTCTTCAAAATTTCTTGTAACTATGGCTACTAGCTACATAATTTTTCTATTTTTTCCCTCAGGAATATACATATTTCATCTGCTTGTTTCTTTTCTTTTCTTTTTGAAGGGGATGATACCTCTGGAAATGCTCAGAGATTACTCCTGGTTCTGTGCTTGGAGAATCACAGGACCATATACAGGAATCTAATCAGTATGAACAAGTCAAGTGCCTTCCCCCTTATACTATTTTTCTTGTCTTCACTTACATGTCTTAATAGTCTTTTCTTCTGTTTGTTTTTTGAACTACACTTTATAGTGCTTGAGGACTACTAATTTAGTGGTTGAGGGTCACTCTTGACAGTGTTTAGGGGACCACAGGTGTCAAGAATTCAGTTGAAATGCAAAACACGCACTTTAGCCCTTTGAGATTATCTCCTTGCCTTATTTTTTAATAGTTATAGCATTATTTTTAATTATTTGTTTTAGGTGAGGTTATATGGTTATAACAGAACTTACATTTTAACATTTAAAATTTAATTTAAAAGTAGAATGTTGATAGAAAAGGTCACTATTTATCATGACCAAACTGCCTCTGACCCTTCACCAACGTCTTTATGTCACCTCTGATCCATTCTTCATTGTCCACTATCCTTCCGCCACTGTTTTTTTTTAATGTCTTGTTTTGTTTTGTTTTATTGGCTTTTTGGGTCACGGTCACACCTGGCGATGCTCAAGGGTCACTCCTGGCTCTGCACTCAGGAATTACTCCTGACAGTTCCCGGTGGACCATACGGGATGCCAGAGATAGAACCTGGGTTGGCCACATGCAAGGCAAATGCCCTACCCACTCTACTATCACTCTGACTCTTTAAGTGGTTTTTTGTAAGTGAAAAAAAATTTTAAACTGCGGGGGATATTCACTAATAGGAATCAAATCTTGGTATCCCACATGTACACTAATCCTTTGACTAGCTGCCTGACTCATTCCCAGAACTTATTTATTTATTTATTTATTGGTCATGCCCAGTGATGCTCAGGGCTTACTCCTGAGCTCAGTGATGATTCCTGGAGGAGCCTGGAGCTGGAGAGACCACATAGGGTGCTGGAGATAGCTGGGTCAGTTGCAAGCAAGGCAAGTGCCCTCCCCACTGTACCACTGACCTCACCCCATTTCCTGAAACTGTTTTGACTACTTCTTTAAACTTCCTCATTGACCCACTGCTTGTTTAGTAGTATGGTGTTTAGTTTTCAAGTGTTTGTGTTTTTCTAAGTTTGTCATTTGTGGTTAATTTCCACTTTTCAAGCATTGTGGTGAGAGAAAACATTCGATAAAATTCCTGTCCTCTTGGGGCCAGGGCAATAGTACAGCGGGTAGGGTGCTTGACTTGCAGGTGGACATCTGGATTTAATCACCAGCATCACATATGGTCCCCTGAGCACTGCCAGGAGTGATCCCTGAGCAGAGAGCCAGGAGTAACCCCTAAGCATTGGCAGGTGTAGCTCCAAATCAAGCCAAACAAACGAAAAGATTCCTGTTATCTTGATTTTTAAAAATTTTCGTGAAGCAAGATAATTTTTATTGAAAGAAATTTACATAGACAGGGGAGAGAAAGGGGAATACGTGTTCAAGGAGAAGTTGGGTTTCTTCTGAATGGATAAAAACAGAGGTATGTGTTCAAAAGAGAACACAGGTTTGGACTAGAGTGATAGCACAGCACTTGCCTTACATGCAACCAACCTGGGTCCCATTCCCAGTACTCCTAATTATACATTTCAAAACTTCTTTAGTTTAGTTTTCCTAATTTAATCTGTTAATTAGAAGGAAGCGGTCATTGAAGCCCTAGCCAATCAGGGCATTCAAGCCCAATACATCAGGATCCTCCGTGAGCTGTATTGCGGATTCACTACCAGGATTCACCATTCTACAAAGAAGTAATCATTGATGTCAAGAGAGGGGTTCGGCAGGGTGATACCATTTCACCGAAACTCTTCAGTGCCACCCTTGAGAACATCATGCGACGACTGGAATGGGAAGGAATGGGAGTGAAGATAGATGGTCGGCAACTATACCACCTCCGCTTTGCTGATGACATTGTTTTAATAACACCAAACATCAGCCAAGCGGCACAAATGCTGGCCAACTTTGACCATGAGTGTGGAAAGGTAGGACTACAGCTGAATCTTACGAAGACAATGTTTATGAGAAACAGCCTCGTTCCTGATGCCCCATTCGCTCTCAATGGAACGACCATCTCCGAATGCAACAGCTATGTGTACCTAGGTCGAGAAGTCAACATGACAAATGACCTGGCACCCGAACTGCGCAGGAGGAAGAGAGCGGCTTGGAACGCCTTCAAGAACGTCGAAGAAATAACTAAGGGGACGAAGAACCTCCGACTCTGGGCACATCTCTTTGATTCCACTGTTCTTCCTGCATTAATATATGCCTCAGAGACCTGGGCCCTACGCAAACAGGATGAGAACGCTATTCAGGTCTCCCAAAGAAGAATAGAAAGAGCTATGATTGGAATATCACGTTTCACTCAAATGAGAGAAAGAATCCGGAGTTCTGACATCCGTCGACGATCAAGGATCAGGGACGCTGTCTCATTTGCCAAGGTGTCGAAAATCAGATGGACTGGTCACGTAATGAGATTTAAAGACGACCGTTGGACTAGAGCTGTTACTGACTGGATTCCACGGGATGTCAAAAGACCGCGTGGCCGCCCACCTACCAGATGGTCAGACTTCTTCGTCAAGATCATGAACGATCGGTTTGAGGCCCTTCATGTTCCCGGAGCGAACAGATGCCATTGGGCTACACTAGCACGCGACAGGGACAAATGGAGACATTACTGGCGCCTGCTCGAGCAAATCGACGACTAACAGGAAGTTAAGTGATAAGTGATTAAGTGAATCTGTTAATTGATATACTCTTTTTGATAAATAATTGTTGCCATTATTTTTTGGTTTGTTTTTGTTTTGGGACCATATACAGTCATGCTCAGGGCTTACTCATGGCTCTGCACTCAGGGATCACTTCTGGTGGGCTCAGGGAATCATATGAGGAGAGCTAGGGATTGAACCCCTGTTTGCCACATACAAGGAAATTCCCTTACACTACCCACTGTACTATCACTCTGGTACCCTGATAAATCTTATCTTAAAGCCTTCTATTAATTTAAGCTAAGCTTATTAACTTAGGAAGAGCATAACACAAAAGAATAAAAGCAATCTTTATCTTATGTTCTATTTTCTTCTTCTAGTATTTAGAGGTACCCTATGGAAATCTTGGAAAGAAAGAGTTACAAAGCGACCTGCAACAGCCCATGCTTTAAAACCAGAACAGATACTTAGTGATGACTTTGCAACAAAAACAAAGATTTCAGAAATCCAAGATATGCTACATGAACTTGCAGGTACTTCAATGTTCACTAAATTGGAAAGCAATGCTATTAAATATATATCAGCAACAATATCAAGCCTCTCTAAAGCTTTGGCTACACTAAATGATGAAGTAAAAGTATTAACACTCCAAAGTAGCATTGGGCAAACAGATGAGGAAGATGAAAATAAAAAATATCTAATAAATAAGCAAATAATAAGCTATATTTGTGAAAAAAATGAAATGCTTCAGCAGAGCCTTCAAAATGCAGAAGAAAAATATGAAAAACTTTGTCAACAAGTAACGTCTGCACCAGTCGTTAGACCACCAGCTGAGCTTCCTCCCCAATCATCCTTGGTTAGTACCACAGAAACCAGTTTAGATAAAGAAACTGAAAGTATTGTAGATGAGGTCCCTCAAAAAGAGGCCGAAACTTTGGGGATGAAGTGGGACTCAACTATTCCACAAATATACCAAGATGAACAGATATCTCCTGATAAAGAAATCACCCAAGGCAAGTTATCAAAGAAAAGAAGTAGTTATGCGACTGACCAGTCACAGAAAAAAAGGCATGTTAAAGGCCCAAGTGCACCTAAGACTTCTGTATCAAAATACAGAATGGATAAAGACGAAGAGGAAATCGAAGGCACCAAACCTGATATCCAAGTTGAGTTACCACCGCTGGAAGAGATGAAAGAAGAAACAGGATCAGATTCCACTCTTGTATCCAAAAGTCCAGGTGTCTCTTATGATGACTCTTCTAAGAGTGGTACAACTGATCAACTCAGGAAGATCAAGTCTTTGTATTTCTTTGAGAGAAAAGATACTCGGTCAGAGTCTACAGAGGAAGAGACCCCTGAGTCAATATACAAAGATACTAGGCAGATTGGTGAATCACAGTCAAAGACAGGCCAAAAAGAGATTCCCACTCAGAAAGTGAAACCAAAAAAAGAAACTCATTCAGAGACTACAAAGGAAGAGATCCCTGAGTCAATATACAAAGATACTAGGCAGATTGAGGAAGTACAGTCAAAGACAGGCCATATAAAGGTTCCTATTGAGAAACTGAAACCAAAACACCAGAAACGGATTTCAAAACTAGCTGCAAGTGAAGAGGGAGAAATTGCTAAGAGTGTGCCAGTCTCCACCGAACCTTACAAACTTGAAAGAACATCTACGATAACCAGAGAGACTTCAGAATTTACCAGAGATCTAGAAAGTGAACAAGGTGAACATGAACAAAGAAACATAGACGACTTTCAGAAATTCATAGTAGATTACCTAAAAAGCAGAATTAAGGAAGTAGAAAAGCTTTGGGATAAAAAAACTTGGCACAAAGAGGTAGTAGACAAAAAAAAAGATGAAGATACAGGAGTTATAAAGGAACAAATAGAGGAATACTTTGAAAAAGTGGCTGACACAGTAACAGCTGTCGTGAAAAAGTACAAAGATATAAAAAAGAAGAAAAAAAGAGAAGACAAGCCAAAAGACGACGTCTCAATTATACCAGAATTGAATGTTCAGATGCCAAGTATAGAAACATCTGCAACTAGCACCTCAGTCCCATATAGGCGCACGGATCCAATAACTGACCATTTAGTGCAAAGGATACTGACTGAAATAGTAAGTGAGACAGATATTTTAGAAGTCTCTGTAGAAGACAAAGACCAGGAGGAACAAAAAAAAATTCAAGAGGAATATTTACAAAAAGGTCAAGAAAAAGATACTGATATGAGTCTTAAGTCCCAGTCGCGAAGAGAAAGACGTGGGATGATAAATCAGAATTTAGAGAAGGGAGAAGCAGACTTCCAGGTGGAAGAGGAAAAGCAAACACAGTGGCAGGAAAAAGAGGTGAGAGAGAAGCAGCTAAAACAGAGGACGCAAGTGCAGACTGAACAAGATAAAGGACAAAGAGAAAGGGAAGCCCAGCTTGAGAGGTCAAAGCAACAGCAACCGGAAGAGAGAAAGTATAAAGTGACACTAAAAGAATTTCCAGTGACAAAAAATAAGGAAGAGCAGGGGAAAATGGAAGTTTCAGAGTCGGGTGTTGGTAAGGAAAAAGAAGGGTTGATGAAGACACGAAAGAAAAAGACAGAAGACTCTGAAGGGCAGAGGCCGAAAAAAAAGGGGGGTGGAAAAGAGAAAAAACCTGAAGAAGTAAGACTTGAGATCTCTCCATCTATCACAGGAAAAGGTCAATTGAAAGACGTGTCTGACTCAGACCTAAAAGAAGAGTTCCAAGGAGCTCAGTCATCAGAGAAACACGACACAACTCTCCCATCTCCAACCACTTCTAAACCCCCAACAAAATTACCCCCATCTAGGATCAGTCCTGTTTCTGCGGGAGAGGTTCCAAAGAAGCAAGTCACTGTCACACCTAAGCAAGAGAAGGAATTGGAGACAAGTCTTCTTCCTGAGAAGGCCGAGTCATCAGAAGAATCTCTTATACTACAATACACCAAGGCAAAACACATCCGTCCAATTTCTAAACAAGAACAAAAATTGAGGGTCCCAACTACCGAAGGACAAGTCCAATCACAGGAGACTATTCCTACTCCTAAACAGATCCAGGAACAAGGCATTACTCTAACGCTCCAACAAGCGGAATCACTGGGGATTGACATCATTACTGAGCAGGTCCAGGAAGGAGGGGTCACTCTCACACTGCAACAAGCCAAGGATCTAGGATTAAGACTCACCAAGGACCAGAGAGAAGCACTAGGGGTCGAATTTATGCCTGAGCAGGTCCCGTTATCAGAGATCACAGTCATCCCTGAGGAGGCTCAGTTACCAGGAGTTACTGTCACCCCAGAGCAGGTACAGGTACAGTTGCAGAGGATCACTGAAGCCCGCAAGGAAACCCAGGAATGGAGGAGCACCCTCACCCCGGAACCGGTCCAGGCAGGAGGGGTCACTCTCACTATGCAACAGGCACAGGCACTGGGGCTCCCTCTAACCCCTGATCAGATGCAAGTACTGGGGGTCACCCAAAGACGAGAGCAGGTCAAGGTACCAGAGAAAACTATTTCCCCTGAGCAGGCCCGGGTACCTGGGATCACTATCACCCCTGAGCAAGCCAAGGCACTTGGGGTCACCCTCACCCCTGAGCAGGTCCAGGCAGGAGGGGTCACTCTCACTCTGCAACAGGCTCAGGCACTGGGGCTCCCTCTAACCCCTGATCAGATGCAAGTACTGGGGGTCACCCAAAGACCAGAGCAGGTCAAGATACCAGAGAAAACTATTTCCCCTGAGCAGGCCCGGGTACCTGGGATCACTATCACCCCTGAGCAAGCCAAGGCACTTGGGGTCACCCTCACCCCTGAGCAGGTCCAGGCAGGAGGGATCACTCTCACTCTGCAACAGGCTCAGGCACTGGGGCTCCCTCTAACCCCTGATCAGATGCAAGTACTGGGGGTCACCCAAAGACCAGAGCAGGTCAAGATACCAGAGAAAACTATTTCCCCTGAGCAGGCCCGGGTACCTGGGATCACTATCACCCCTGAGCAAGCCAAGGCACTTGGGGTCACCCTCACCCCTGAGCAGGTCCAGGCAGGAGGAGTCACTCTCACTCTGCAACAGGCTCAGGCACTGGGGCTCCCTCTAACCCCTGATCAGATGCAAGTACTGGGGGTCACCCAGAGACCACAGCAGACAACAGTACCAGGGATAACTGTTGCCCCTGAGATGACTTCAATTCCCGGTATATCTATCACACCTAAACACTCCCAGATACCAGGAGTCATTGTTTCCCCAAGCAGGACAGAAGTACCAGGGATCACTGTGGCCCCTGAGCAGGCCCAGGTGCCCAGGATCACTGTCACCCCTGAGCAGGCCAAAGCTCTTGGTGTCATGCTCACTCCTGAGCAGGTCCAGGCAGGAGGGGTCACTCTCACTCTACAACAGGCCAAGGCACTGGGGTTCCCTCTAACCCCTGATCAGATGCAAGTCCTGGGGGTCACCCATAGACCAGAGCAGGCCAAGATGCCAGGGACAGCAATTGTCCCTGAGAAGCCTTCAATGCCAGGGATCGCCATCACTCCTAAACAGTCTCAGATACCAGGGATCACCGTCACCCCTGAGCAGGCCCAGGCACTTGGGATCACCCTCACCCCTGAACAGGTCCAGGCAGGAGGGGTCACTCTCACTCTGCGACAGGCACAGGCACTGGGGCTCCCTCTAACCCCTGATCAGATGCAAGTACTGGGGGTCACACAGAGCCCAGAGCAGGCCAAGATACCAGGGAAAACTACTGCCCCTGAACAGGCCCAGGTACCTGGGATCACTATCACCCCTGAGCAGGCCAAGGCACTTGGGATCACCCTCACCCCTGAGCAGGTCCAGGCAGGAGGGGTCACTCTCACTCTACAACAGGCCAAGGCACTGGGGCTCCCTCTAACCCCTGATCAGATGCAAGTACTGGGGGTCACCCAGAGACCAGAGCAGGTCAAGGTGCCAGAGCAAACTATTTCCCCTGAGCAGGCCCGGGTACCTGGGATCACTATCACCCCTGAGCAAGCCAAGGCACTTGGGGTCACCCTCACCCCTGAACAGGTCCAGGCAGGAGGGGTCACTCTCACTCTGCGACAGGCACAGGCACTGGGGCTCCCTCTAACCCCTGATCAGATGCAAGTACTGGGGGTCACACAGAGCCCAGAGCAGGCCAAGATACCAGGGAAAACTACTGCCCCTGAACAGGCCCAGGTACCTGGGATCACTATCACCCCTGAGCAGGCCAAGGCACTTGGGATCACCCTCACCCCTGAGCAGGTCCAGGCAGGAGGGGTCACTCTCACTCTACAACAGGCCAAGGCACTGGGGCTCCCTCTAACCCCTGATCAGATGCAAGTACTGGGGGTCACCCAGAGACCAGAGCAGGTCAAGGTGCCAGAGCAAACTATTTCCCCTGAGCAGGCCCAGGTACCTGGGATCACTATCACCCCTGAGCAAGCCAAGGCACTTGGGGTCACCCTCACCCCTGAACAGGTCCAGGCAGGAGGGGTCACTCTCACTCTGCAACAGGCTCAGGCACTGGGGCTCCCTCTAACCCCTGATCAGATGCAAGTACTGGGGGTCACCCATAGACCAGAAAAAGCCAAGGTACCAGGGATAACTATTGCCCCTGAAAGAACTTCAATTCCAGGGATCACCATCACTAAGAAGGAGTCTTGGGGACCTGGGATCTCTGTTACCCCTGAGCAGGCCCAGATATCTGGGATCTCTGTTACCCCTGAGCAAGCCAAGGCACTTGGGGTCACCCTCACCCCTGAGCAGGTCCAGGCAGGAGGGGTCACTCTCAGTCTGCAACAGGCTCAGGCACTGGGGCTCCCTCTAACCCCTGATCAGATGCAAGTACTGGGGGTCACCCAAAGACCAGAGCAGGTCAAGGTACCAGAGAAAACTATTGTTCCTGAGATGACTTCAGTTACAGGGATTGTCACTCCTAAAGAGTCTTGGGTACCAGGGATCACTGTTGCCCCTGAGCAGGCCCAGGTACCTGGGATCACTGTCACACCTGAGCAGGCCCAGGCACTTGGGATCGTCCTTACCCCTCAGCAGGTTGAAGAAGGAGGGGTCACACTCACTTTCCAACAGGCACAGGCACTGGGGTTCCCTCTAACCCCTGATCAGATGCAAGTCCTGGGGGTCACACATAGACCAGAGCAGGTCAAGGTATCAGAGAAAACTATTTCCCCTGAGCAGGCCCGGGTACCTGGGATCACTATCACCACTGAACAAGCCAAGGCACTTGGGGTCACCCTTACCCCTGAGCAGATCCAGGCAGGAGAGGTCACTCTCACTCTGCAACAGGCTCAGGCACTGGGGCTCCCTCTAACCCCTGATCAGATGCAAGTACTGGGGGTCACCCAAAGACCAGAGCAGGTCAAGGTACCAGAGAAAACTATTTCCCCTGAGCAGGCCCGGGTACCTGGGATCACTATCACCCCTGAGCAAGCCAAGGCACTTGGGGTCACCCTCACCCCTGAGCAGGTCCAGGCAGGAGGGGTCACTCTCACTCTGCAACAGGCTCAGGCACTGGGGCTCCCTCTAACCCCTGATCAGATGCAAGTATTGGGGGTCACACAGAGGCCAGAGCAGGCCAAGATACCAGGGAAAACTACTGCCCCTGAACAGGCCCAGGTACCTGGGATCACTATCACCCCTGAGCAGGCCAAGGCACTTGGGGTCACCCTCACCCCTGAGCAAGTAAAGGCAGGAGAGATCACTCTCACTCTGCAACAGGCACAGGCACTGGGATATCCACTAACCTCTGATGAGGAGCAAATATTGAGTGTAACCCTTGGGCAACAAAAGGTCATGGTACCAGACATAACTATTGGTCCTAAGCAGACTTCAATAGGAGGGATCACCATCACACCTAAACAGTCTCAGATACAAGGAATCACTATACCCCCAACGCAGAGAGAACGAGGAGAAATCATTGTCACCCCAGAGCAGGCCCAGGTACCTGGGATCACTGTCACCCCTGAGCAGGCCCAGGCAGGAGAGGTCACTCTCACTCTGCAAGAGGCACAGGCACTGGGGTTCCCTCTAACCCCTGATCAGATGCAAGTACTGGGGGTCACCCATAGACCAGAGCAGGTCAAGATACCAGGGAAAACTATTTCCCCTGAGCATGCTCTGATACCTGGAATCTCTGTCACCCCTGAGCAGGCCCAGGCACTTGGGGTCACCCTCACCTCTGAGCAGATGCAGGCAGGAGAGGTCACTCTCACTCTGCAACAGGCACAGGCACTGGGGCTCCCTCTAACCCCTGATCAGATGCAAGTCCTGGGGGTCACGCATAGACCAGAGCAGGTCAAGGTACCAGAGAAAACTATTTCCCCTGAGCAGGCCCGGGTACCTGGGATCACTATCACCCCTGAGCAAGCCAAGGCACTTGGGGTCACCCTCACCCCTGAGCAGGTCCAGGCAGGAGGGGTCACTCTAACTCTGCAACAGGCACAGGCACTGGGGCTTCCTCTAACCCCTGATCAGTTGCAAGTCCTGGGGGTCACCCAAAGACCAGAGCAGGTCAAGGTACCAGAGAAAACTATTTCCCTTGAGCAGCCCCAGGTACCTGGGATCACTATCACCCCTGAGCAAGCCAAGGCACTTGGGGTCACCCTCACCCCTGAGCAGGTCCAGGCAGGAGGGGTCACTCTCACTCTGCAACAGGCTCAGGCACTGGGGCTCCCTCTAACCCCTGATCAGATGCAAGTACTGGGGGTCACCCAAAGACCAGAGCAGGTCAAGGTACCAGAGAAAATTATTGCTCCTGGGATGACTTCAGTTACAGGGATCGTCACTCCTAAAAAGTCTTGGGTACCAGGGATCACTATCACCCCGGAGCAGGCCGAGGCACTTGGTGTCACCCTCACCCCTGAGCAGGTTGAGGCAGGCGAGGTCACTCTCACTCTGCAACAGGCACAGGCACTGGGGCTCCCTCTAACCCCTGACCAGATGCAAGTACTGGGGGTCACCCAAAGACCAGAACAGGCCATAGTACCAGGCATAAGTACTGCCCCTGAGATGACTTCAATTACAGGGATTGCCACTCCGAAAGACTCTCAGGTGTCTGGGGTCACTGTCACCCCTGAGCAGGCCCAGGCACTTGGGGTCACCCTCACCCCTGAGCAGGTTGAGGCAGGAGGGGTCACTCTCAGTCTGCAACAGGCTCAGGCACTGGGGCTCCCTCTAACCCCTGATCAGATGCAAGTACTGGGGGTCACACAGAGACCACAGCAGACAACAGTACCAGGGATAACTGTTGCCCCTGAGATGACTTCAATTCCCGGTATATCTATCACACCTAAACACTCCCAGATACCAGGAGTCATTGTTTCCCCAAGCAGGACAGAAGTACCAGGGATCACTGTGGCCCCTGAGCAGGCCCAGGTGCCCAGGATCACTGTCACCCCTGAGCAGGCCAAAGCTCTTGGTGTCACGCTCACTCCTGAGCAGGTCCAGGCAGGAGGGGTCACTCTCACTCTACAACAGGCCAAGGCACTGGGGCTCCCTCTAACCCCTGATCAGATGCAAGTACTGGGGGTCACCCAGAGACCAGAGCAGGTCAAGGTGCCAGAGAAAACTATTTCCCCTGAGCAGGCCCGGGTACCTGGGATCACTATCACCCCTGAGCAAGCCAAGGCACTTGGGGTCACCCTCACCCCTGAACAGGTCCAGGCAGGAGGGGTCACTCTCACTCTGCAACAGGCTCAGGCACTGGGGCTCCCTCTAACCCCTGATCAGATGCAAGTATTGGGGGTCACACAGAGGCCAGAGCAGGCCAAGATACCAGGGAAAACTACTGCCCCTGAACAGGCCCAGGTACCTGGGATCACTATCACCCCTGAGCAGGCCAAGGCACTTGGGATCACCCTCACCCCTGAGCAGGTCCAGGCAGGAGGGGTCACTCTCACTCTACAACAGGCCAAGGCACTGGGGCTCCCTCTAACCCCTGATCAGATGCAAGTACTGGGGGTCACCCAGAGACCAGAGCAGGTCAAGGTGCCAGAGAAAACTATTTCCCCTGAGCAGGCCCGGGTACCTGGGATCACTATCACCCCTGAGCAAGCCAAGGCACTTGGGGTCACCCTCACCCCTGAACAGGTCCAGGCAGGAGGGGTCACTCTCACTCTGCAACAGGCTCAGGCACTGGGGCTCCCTCTAACCCCTGATCAGATGCAAGTACTGGGGGTCACACAGAGGCCAGAGCAGGCCAAGATACCAGGGAAAACTACTGCCCCCGAGCAGCCCCGGGTACCTGAAGTCACTGTTACCCCTGAGCAGGCCAAGGCACTTGGGATCACACTCACCCCTGAGCAGGTGCAGGCAGGAGGGGTCACTCTCAGTCTGCAACAGGCACAGGCACTGGGGCTCCCTCTAACCCCTGATCAGATGCAAGTACTGGGGGTCACCCATAGAGAAGAGCAGATCCAGAAACCAGGGATCACTTTAACCCCTAAACAGTTCCAGTTAACAAAAATCACTGTTATCCCAGAAGAGTCTCAAGTATCATCGATCACTGCCACCCCTGAGAATGTCCAGGTACCAGAGATCCTTGGCACTCCCGAGAAGGCCCAGGTATCAGGCATGACTGTCATCTCTGAACAGCTTCAGGTACCAGGGATCGCTGTCAGTCCTGGGCAGGCTCAGGTATCAGGGATTACTGTCACCCCTAAACAGGCCAAGGTACCAGAAATCCCTTCCATCTCTCAGCGGGCTCAGACACCAGGGATCACCGTAAGTCTTGAGAAGCTCCAGGCACCAGGGATTACTGTCAGTTCTGAGCAGATACAGATATCTGGAATCACTACCCCCGGCGAGGCACAGGCAGAGAAAGAGGAGACCACTCTCAGCTCCCAAGAGTCCCAGGAACTGAAGCTCACTCTCACTGCTGATCAGGGTCAGGCAGGAAGAATCAGTTTTACTCAGCAAGAAGAGCAAGCAACTCAAGAAGCTAGACGTATACAGGTATCTCCTCAGGGGGTGCAGGGAATCTCCCTTACTCCCAGAGAGGCCCAGGCACTTGGGATCACCCTTACTCAGGAGCAGGCTGAGGCAGGCCGGGTCACTCTTAATCTACAACAGGCACAGGCCCTGGGGGTGCCACTCACTCCTAACCAGATCAAAGCTCTGGGGGTTACCTTAAGAGCAGAGCAGTCCCGGGTGCCAGGGGTCACTGTCACCCCTGAGCAGACACAGGTTTCAGTGATCACTGTTCCCTCTCAGCGGGCGCGAACAATGGGGCGTACTCGCACTCCTCAGCGTGCACAATTACCAGTGATGACTGTCACCCCTGAGCAGGCTCAGAGAGTCTCTGTAACACCTCAGGAAGCCCAGGCTCTGGGGGGTCATTTACCTTCTGAGGTGGTTCAGGCCAAGAGGGGAACCATCGCTCCTGAACAGGCCCAGACATTGGGGCCTCAGCAGACTCAGTTACAAGAGGTTGATGTTATCCCTGAGCAAGCCCAGGCTCAAGCAGTGGCTCAGGAAGGGCAGGCACTAGGGATCCCGCACTCTCCTGAGGAAACCTGGGCAACAAGGGAGGGGGTCACCTTCATGCCCCAAGAGGGACAGGCACAGGGCATCACCCCTGTCCCTAAGCAGATACGGGGAATGGGGATCACTTTCCCCCTTCAGACGGAACAGGAACTGGGGTTGACCCTCACTCCTCAACAGGAACAGACACTGGGGATCACCCCCACCCCTCAGAGGGCACAGGAACTGGGGGTCACACTCACCCCTCAACAGGAACCGACGTTGGGGATAACTCCCACCCTTCAGAGAGCACAGGAATTGGAGGTCACCCTCACCCCTCAACAGTTACAGATGCTGGGGATCACCCCAAGCCCTCAGAGGGCACAGGAATTGGGGGTCACCCTAACCCCTGAACAAGAACAGACGTTAGGGATCACTCCCACTCCTCAGGAGGAACAGGAACTGGGGGTTACCCCCAGCCCTCAGAGGGCACAGGAACTGGGAGTCACTCCCACCACTCTGAGGACACAAGAACTGGGGATCACCCCCACCCCTCAGAGGGCACAGCAACTGGGGGTAACGCTCACCCCTCAACAGGAACAGATACCGGGGGTCACCCCCACCCCTCAGAGGGCACAGGAACTGGGGATCACCGCCACCCCTCAGAGGGCACAGGAATTGGGGGTCACCCTCACCCCTCAACAGTTACAGATGCTGGGGATCACCCCCACCCCTCAGCAGGCACAGGAACTGGGGCTTACCCCCAGCCCTCAGAGGGCACAGGAACTGGGAGTTACCCCCACCACTCTGAGGACACAAGATCTGGGGATCACCCCCACCCCTCTGAGGGCACAGGAACTGGGAGTCACCCCCACCCCTCAGAGGGCACAGCAACTGGGGATAACGCTCACCCCTCAACAGGAACAGATACCGGGGGTCACCCCCACCCCTCAGAGGGCACAAGAACTGGGAATCATGCTCACCCCTCAGAGGGCAAAGGAACTGGGGATCACCCTCACCCCTCAACAGGAACAGATGCTGGGGATCACCCCAAGCCCTCAGAGGGCACAGGAACTGGGGGTCACCCTAACCCCTGAACAAGAACAGATGTTGGGGATAACTCCCACTCCTCAGAAGGCACAGGAACTGGGGGTTACCCTCACCCCTCAACAAGAACAAATGCTGGGGATCATCCCCACCCCTCAGCAGGCACAGGAACTGGGGGTAACGCTCACCCCTCAACAGGAACAGGTGCTGAGGGTCACCCCCACCCCTCAGATAGCACAGGAACTGGGGATCACTGCCACCCCTCAGAGGGCACAGGAATTGGGGGTCACCCTCACCCCTCAACAGTTACAGATGCTGGGGATCACCCCAAGCCCTCAGAGGGCACAGGAACTGGGGGTCACCCTAACCCCTGAACAAGAACAGATGTTGGGGATAACTCCCACTCCTCAGAAGGCACAGGAACTGGGGATTACCCTCACCCCTCAACAAGAACAAATGCTGGGGATCACCCCCACCACTCAGCAGGCACTGGGGCTTACCCCCACCACTCAGAGGGCACAGGAACTGGGGGTCACGCTCACCCCTCAACAGGAACAGATACTGGGGATCACCTCCACCCCTCAGATAGCACAGGAAATGGGGATCACCGCCACCCCTCAGAGGGCACAGGAACTGGGGGCCACGCTCACTCCTCAACAGGAACAGATGCTGGGGGTCACCCCCACCCCTCAGAGGGCACAGCAACTGGGGGTCATGCTCACCCCTCAACAGGAACAGATACTGGGGATTACCCCCACCCCTCAGAGGGCACAGGAATTGGGGGTCACGCTCACCTCTCAACAGGAACAGATACTAGGAATCACCCCCACTCCTCTGAGGGCACAGGAACTGGGAGTCACCCCCACCCCTCAGAGGGCACAGGAATTGAGAATCACCCCCACCCCTCAGATAACGCAGGAACTGGGAGTCACCACCACACCTCTGAGGGCACAGGAACTGGGGGTCACGCTCACCCCTCAACAGGAACAGATACTGGGGATCACCCCCACCCCTCAGAGGGCACAAGAACTGGGAATCACGCTCACCCCTCAGAGGGCACAGGAACTAGGGATCACCCTCACCCCTCAACAGGAACAGATACTGGGGGTCACCCCCACCCCTCAGAAGGCACAGGAACTGGGGATCACCCTCACCCCTCAACAGGAACAGATACTGGGGGTCACCCCCACCCCTCAGGTAGCACAGGAACTGGAGGTCACCCCCACCCCTCAGAGGGCACAGGAACTGGGGATCACCCTCACCCCTCAACAGGAACAGATACTGGGGGTCACCCCCACCCCTCAGAGGGCACAAGAACTGGGAATCATGCTCACCCCTCAGAGGGCAAAGGAACTGGGGATCACCCTCACCCCTCAACAGGAACAGATGCTGGGGATCACCCCCACCCCTCAGATAGCACAGGAACTGGGGGTCACCCCCACCCCTCAGAGGGCACAAGAACTGGGGATCACCCCCACCCCTCAGAGGGCACAGGAACTGGGGATCACCCTCACCCCTCAACAGGAACAGATACTGGGGGTCACCCCCACCCCTCAGGTAGCACAGGAACTGGGGGTCACCCCCACCCCTCAGAGGGCAAAGGAACTGGGGATCACCCTCACCCCTCAACAGGAACAGATACTGGGGGTCACCCCCACCCCTCAGGTAGCACAGGAACTGGGGGTCACCCCCACCCCTCAGAGGGCAAAGGAACTGGGGATCACCCTCACCCCTCAACAGGAACAGATACTGGGGGTCACCCCCACCCCTCAGGTAGCACAGGAACTGGGTGTCACCCCCACCCCTCAGAGGGCAAAGGAACTGGGGATCACCCTCACCCCTCAACAGGAACAGATACTGGGGGTCACCCCCACCACTCAGAGGGCACAAGAATTGGGGATCACCCCCACCCCTCAGGTAGCACAGGAACTGGGGGTCACCCCCACCCCTCAAAGGGCAAAGGAACTGGGGATCACCCTCACCCCTCAACAGGAACAGATACTGGGGGTCACCCCCACCCCTCAGAGGGCACAGGAACTGGGGATCACGCTCACCCCTCAACAGGAACAGATACTGGGGATCACCCCCACCCCTCAGAGGGCACAGGAACTGGGGGTCACGCTCACCCCTCAACAGGAACAGATACTGGGGATCACCCCCACCCCTCAGAGGGCACAGGAACTGGGGGTCACGCTCACTCCTCAACAGGAACAGATACTGGGGATCACCCCCACCCCTCAGATAGCACAGGAAATGGGGGTCACCCCCACCCCTCAGGTAGCACAGGAACTGGGGGTCACCCCCACCCCTCAGAGGGCAAAGGAACTGGGGATCACCCTCACCCCTCAACAGGAACAGATACTGGGGGTCACCCCCACCCCTCAGATAGCACAGGAACTGGGGGTCACCCCCACCCCTCAGAGGGCAAAGGAACTGGGGATTACCCTCACTCCTCAACAGGAACAGATACTGGGGGTCACCCCCACCCCTCAGGTAGCACAGGAACTGGGGGTCACCCCCACCCCTCAGAGGGCAAAGGAACTGGGGATCACCCTCACCCCTCAACAGGAACAGATACTGGGGGTCACCCCCACCCCTCAGGTAGCACAGGAACTGGGGGTCACCCCCACCCCTCAGAGGGCAAAGGAACTGGGGATCACCCTCACCCCTCAACAGGAACAGATACTGGGGATCACCCCCACCCCTCAGGTAGCACAGGAACTGGGGGTCACCCCCACCCCTCAGAGGGCAAAGGAACTGGGGATCACCCTCACCCCTCAACAGGAACAGATACTGGGGGTCACCCCCACCCCTCAGGTAGCACAGGAACTGGGGGTCACCCCCACCCCTCAGAGGGCAAAGGAACTGGGGATCACCCTCACCCCTCAACAGGAACAGATACTGGGGGTCACCCCCACCCCTCAGGTAGCACAGGAACTGGGGGTCACCCCCACCCCTCAGAGGGCAAAGGAACTGGGGATCACCCTCACCCCTCAACAGGAACAGATACTGGGGGTCACCCCCACCCCTCAGGTAGCACAGGAACTGGGAGTCACCCCCACCCCTCAGAGGGCAAAGGAACTGGGGATCACCCTCACCCCTCAACAGGAACAGATACTGGGGGTCACCCCCACCCCTCAGGTAGCACAGGAACTGGGGGTCACCCCCACCCCTCAGAGGGCAAAGGAACTGGGGATCAGCCTCACTCCTCAACAGGAACAGATACTGGGGGTCACCCCCACCCCTCAGGTAGCACAGGAACTGGGTGTCACCCCCACCCCTCAGAGGGCAAAGGAACTGGGGATCACCCTCACCCCTCAACAGGAACAGATACTGGGGGTCACCCCCACCCCTCAGAGGGCACAAGAACTGGGGATCACCCCCACCCCTCAGAGGGCACAGGAACTGGGGATCACCCTCACCCCTCAGAGGGCACATGAACTGGGGGTCACCCTCACCCCTCAACAGGAACAGATACTGGGAATAACTCCCACCCCTCAGAGGGCACAGCAACTGGGGGTCACGCTCACCCCTCAACAGGAACAGATGCTGGGGGTCACCCCCACCCCTCAGATAGCACAGCATCTGGGGGTCACCCTCACCCCTCAGATAGCACAGGACCTGGGGATCACCCCCACCCCTCAGAGGGCACAGGAACTGGGTATCACCCTCACCCCTCAACAGGAACAGATGCTGGGGGTCACCCCCACCCCTCAGATAGCACAGCATCTGGGGGTCACCCTCACCCCTCAGATAGCACAGGAACTGGGGGTTACCCTCACCCCTCAGAGGGCACAGGAACTGGGAATCACGCTCACCCCTCAGAGGGCACATGAACTGGGGGTCACCCCCACCACTCAGATAGCACAGGAACTGGGGGTTACCCTCACCCCTCAGACGGCACAGGAACTGGGAATCACGCTCACCCCTCAGAGGGCACATGAACTGGGGGTCACCCTCACCCCTCAACAGGAACAGATGCTGGGGGTCACCCCTACCCCTCAGATAGCACAGGAACTGGGGGTTACCCTCACCCCTCAGAGGGCACAGGAACTGGGGATCACCCTTACCCCTCAACAGGAACAGATGCTAGGGGTCACCCCCACCCTTCCGATAGCACAGGAACTGGGGGTCACTCTCACTCCTCAACAGGAACAGATCCTGGGGATCACTCCCAGTCCTCAGATGGCACAGGAACTGGGGGTTACCCTCACCCCTCAACAGGAACAGATGCTGGGGGTCACCCCCACCCCTCAGATAGCACAGGAACTGGGAGTCACCCCCACCCCTCAGAGGGCACATGAACTGGGGGTCACCCTCACCCCTCAACAGGAACAGATGCTGGGGGTCACCCCCACCCCTCAGATAGCACAGGAACTGGGGGTTACCCTCACCCCTCAGAGGGCACAGGAACTGGGGGTCACCCTCACCCCTCAACAGGAACAGTTACTGGAGATCACCCCCAGCCCTCAGAGGACACAGGAATTGGGGGTTATCCTCACCCCTTCACAGGCAATGGGGATCACCCCCATCCCACAGCAGGCAAAGGAAGCAGGGGTCACCCCTGCCCTTGAACTGGAACAGGCACAGAGCATCACTCTCACCCCTAAGCAGAGCCTGAGAGTCTTCCCCACCCCTCAACAGGCACAGTCACTAGGGATTACCCACCCTACTCAGCAGGCAGAAACACTGGGCATCACCCTCCCTCAGCAGCACCAGGCACTGGGGGTTACTCTCACTCATCAGCAGAAACAGGCTCTGGGTCTTCCTTTGGCTTCTGAACAGGCTGAACAAGTCCAGGCCATGGGAATCTCCCTCCCTCCTGAGCAGCCCCAAGTACTGGGGATCCATCCTACCCCTGAGCACTCTCCAGCACGAAAGGTCCCTCTCACCACAGATCAGGCGTGGAAACTGGCCGTTCCTCTCCCACCAGGAATGGTTCAGGAAGTATCGAAAACAGTTACTCTTCAGCAGATCCAGGCTTTGGGGGACACTCCCTCCCAAGAGCAGAAGCAGACACTAGGCACTCCTGTCTTTCTGGATCAGGCCCAGAGATCAAGGTTTCCTACCATTCTAGAAAGTACTGATGAATTGGTTATCACTCCCAGTTCTGAAAAGACACAGGCTCCAGGGCTGCCTCTCTCCTCAGATAAAGCCCAAGACTTAGACTCTTCCCTCATATCTAAGCAAATCCCATCTTTGAAAGTCCCTTTCACTTCACCCCGAGGTCGAGGTCGTACTGTCATGTTTGAGCAGGACCTAAACTTAAGAGCCTCCCTAGTTAGAGAGCAGTCCTCGCATGTTCAGGCTCCCTCCACTCTTAAACCTTTCCCCAAATCAAAGAAAACTCCTCCTTTTGGGCAATCCCTGACACCAAGTCCAAGCCAGGCCCAAGAATCCTCTGCTCCCATAGCTGAGAAGTCCTCTAAGACTGAGAGTTCAATTTCTCCCAAGCCCAGCTCTGTTCCTCTGAAATTCCAAGGAACTAGGATTCCCCAGAGCCTAATTTCTAAAGGTTCCTCTATACAAGTTCCTGCTACTAGAAAACAAAGGGTACCAGTGGCCCCTCACCCTCCAGATCAGCCCCTTGCCCCAGGGAAGGAGAGCCACAGCTTCAGGCAATTTCTCACATCTAAAGATGTTTTGACAACCCAGCCACCCCTGAAAGCAAAGGGTTCTCCAGACTTCAGCCAGCCTCTGATACCTGAAGTCCCATTCACCTCTAGACAGATTCCTACTCCCTCTCCCCTTCCTGGGAAACTTCGAGAATATGGACCCTTAACTTCCTTCAAGGAGGAGGAGAAGCCTCAGTCATTCTCTGCAGTCTCTAAGCAATCTCCCCAGCCTCAAGCCCCTTCTCCCCTGGGTCAGTATTGGGCACCAAGGCCTCCTTCGGGGAAAACTTTCCCACAATGGATTCCTCCCATTCCTGGACATCCTCCAACACCCCAAACCCCCTCGCCTTCTGAAGAGTTCCAAAGAGACTTGCGCTCTTCTGTCCCTATGAAAAGAAAAGGATTGCCTACTATTTCTTCTCTGAAAGCTAAATCAACATTGGCCTATCCTGGTGCCCCACAATTCAAAGCACCTCAAACCACAACTGAGAAGTTCCCAGTGCCAAAGTCCTCTGACACTGCTGAAGGAATCCAAAGACTCCGTGATCCTCTTGCCATGGAACCACTTAGAATACTTCAATCCTATGATACCGATTTTAGCAGAGCAATATCACACAAGCGTTTCACTGATGGGGCTGCCCTTCCCACTCTTGTGAAGTCTGTAACACCTCTAACTACTCAATTATCCAAAACATCTCACATCTCACCTTCTGAGTTGGCCAAAAAATCTCAACTCTCCCTTTTAAAGAAACCTCTGTCAGTGATGTCTGTTTCAAGCATCAAGAAACCGAAGATGACAGTGCCCTGGTCCTCTCCCCAAGAGCTTGAAGGACAGAAATTCTTCATTGATGTGGAGGCTCAAAAGAAGAATCTTATACTCTTAAATCAGGCCTCAAAAGCCGCTGGACTCCCTTCACAGCTACACACAATCGCTAGGAATCTCATAGTTGAGACACTTCATGCAGACAGTGTTCGGATGGGATACCTATTCCGCAAGTACAGTGCCTATCGACTGATTCAGCAGGCAAGGTAACTGCTATATATTCAGGTTTTTACTTTGGTCCTGATTTCAAATATTCTCCCTCATTGCCTTATATTATGATTTTTCAGATTTTTCAGATCAGATGTTCCAGAAGATTCTCATAGATGGATGGCCTGTGGGATGGAAGAATTTATTTGTTTGGGGGCCACACTCTGTAGCACTCAGAAGCTAGTCTTGACTTGGTACTCAAGGGACCATACAGAGCTAGGACTCAAACTGGGGCTTGCTGCATTCAAAGCGTGCACTCCAGCACTTTGGACTACCTCTGTTCACCCTTTTACGTATTTTAAGTAGTCACAACAGTTGGTCTTCCTGTATCTTAAATATTAAATTATAATTATATAAATAATAGGTTATAAGTATATAACTATATTATAAATAAAGGTAAAAGGTAAAGGCCCTCCCGTTGATCATTGATTTGCTCAAGCGGGCCCAGTAATGTCTCCATTGGAGACTTTGTTGTTACTGTGTTTGGCATATCGAATACATCACGGGGAGCTTGCCAGGCTCTGCCGTGCAGGCGATAATATTATAAATATTATGCATTAGTTAATTTAAAAAACCCACTCATTTTTTATAGCTTCATAGCATTCCAAATATGCATTTACCAGAATTTGTTTAACCTCTGATGTAGTGTTCAATACTGCATATGGTTAAAAATAGGTCCAGTGATATTTTATAATTTTGAAAGGTTTTTATCAAATTGTTCTGCAAGGAGGTTTTGTTTAATTAGTTTGGTTTTTGGGCTACACCCAGTGGTGCTCAGGGCTTACTCCTGGCTTTGTACACAGGGTTCACTCCTGGTGGAGCTCAGGGGACCATCGAGTGTGCTGAGGATTGAACTTGGACTGGGTGTGTGCAAGGCAAATACCTTCCTGGTTATACTATCTCTCCATCCCTTCTGCAAGGAGGTTGTCACAATTTACTTATCAAATGAACTGCCATATTTTAGAGAGTATTTTCCTACATTAAGTTAAGGAAGCATTACCAGATTTGTTTTATTTGTTCTTTTAGTTTTGGTGGGATTAAGCACTTTTTTATGGACTTCAGACTTATTTGGACTTCATTTTTTGTAGAGATCCTATTTTTTTCTTTTTGGGTCACACCTGGCAATGCTCAGGGGTTACTCCTGGCTCAGGCACTCAGGAATCACTCCTGGCAGTTCTCGGGGGACCATATGGGATCAAACCAGGGTCGACTGCGTGCAAGGCAAACACTCTAATCGCTGTGCTATCGCTCCAGCCCCTAGAGATCCTGTTTTTAAAGAATAATTTGCCTATTTGGGGGTTGAAGAGATAGTAATTTGCTTAGCATGAAGTTGTGGTTATGACCCTAGTTCAAATCCTGGCACTTAGTATGGTTCCCCAAGCACTGCTAGGAGTGATGCCTGAACACAGAACCAGGAGTAAACTCTAAGCACTGCCAGGTATGACCCAAAAATAAAACAAAAAATTTATCCAGTGTGAGGATCAAAGTTACTGTTCAAATGTTAGGAAAGTAAGTTCCTTGTCTTTGATATAAAGTGCTAAGTGTCCCTCACTTGTTTGTTCTGACTCTACTTTTAATGTTTTTTGTCGTTGAGAAAAGTATGTGTTATTTGCTTGTCAATTTTTTCTGTTTCTTTTTGTATTTTCAAGGCTCATTGCTTGTTTTACATACCAGTCTTTGATTTACAACTTTCTGTGTACATCAGGCTAAAGATTGGTCTCATGAGGTCATGGTTTATAGGCAAGAAGTCTGGCTTGCTTTCCAGTGCTACCATGATCCTCAAGCACATTTAAGAGTAGCCTTTAAATACAGTGACTCCCCCCACATGACCAGGTGTGGTCCCCAAACAGAAAATCAAAGAAAAAGATAGGTCTGCCTTCCCCCACGATCAGACATGGACATATTTGATTGTTCCATCAATGTTTATAAGATAATCCCTCTTTCCCACCTACTTATTTGTATGTAACTTCAGTGTAAAGTCTTCATTTAGGACCATATTTGAACTCTATTGTTTTATTAATTGCTATAGTATCCTGCTATACTATCACTTTGGTTCCAGGAATACCATATTTTATTGTTTTGTTTTGTTTTATTTGTTTGTTTTTTTGGCCACACCAACGATGCTCAGAGGTTACTCTGAATTCAGAAAATTCTCCTGGTGGTGCTCAGAGATCATATAGGATATTAGGGACCGAAGCTGAATGAGTCATATGCAAGGCAAGAACCCTACCTTTTGTACTATTTCTTTGGTCTCCAAAGTGGCATCTTTTTGTTTTTTATTTAAAAAAAATTTTTTTTTTAGGATTTGAGGCCACATCTGGCACTGCTAAGAGGTTACCCCTGACTCTGCACACAGGAATTACTCCTGGCAGTGCTCAAGGGACCATATGAGATGACAGATTCTAATAAAATATCAGAAAAAATATTCCTGGGGCTGGAGATACAGTACAGGGGTTAAGGTGCATGCCTGTCATGAAGCTGATCCCAGTTCAGTACCTGGCACCAAATGATCCCCCAAGCATTGATGGGTCACTCTTGGTGAATACTGCCAGGTGACCCAGGTAATCCTTGGCACCAAGGGGCCATCACAGCACCACATTTTTGGACTCTCATATTGAACTCTGTACTCTGTTGGCTAAGAATTGCCAGGAGAGGCCTTCAGGTATTTTTAATAACACTTGGGAGGCAAAAATACACACACACACACACACACACACACACACACACATATATATACCATTATAAACGGCAATGTTTTATCCATATAAGTGAGATTTAAGTGGGAGTAAAGAGGAGAAAGGGTCAAGTAACCATGTTTCTAGACATGGAATTTTATTTATTTGGGGGATGGAAAAAAAGGTAAAATCTAGAGAGCTAAAGAGATAGTACAGAAGTTAAGACATTTGTCTTGTATGTAACTGATACTGATTTTGTTCCTTACACCACATGGTTCTCCAAGAGCTGCCAGGAGTGGTAATTTAGCATAGAGCCAGGCGCTGAGAAATGCCATTTGTGGATCAACAGCCCCATCCCCCCCATCCCCAGTGAGATCAAATCCAGGCCCTCATACACATGAGGCAGGCACTCTACTACTGAGTTCATGTGCAACCCTATATAGAAAATTTTATTTTATCTTCTTATTACTTTTTATTTTTCTCCTTTCTGTTCTTCATTATTGTTGTTGTTGATGATGATGATGAGGAGGAGGAGGAGGAGGAGGAGGATGTGATAACCAGGGGTCATACACATGCCTGGTTGCAGTGCCTCATACATTTAATTGTGGTGCTCACCAGGTTTCACATATCAGGCCACATTACTCACTTTATAGCAGTGCTTGCCAAGGGTCACTCTCCTGGGCACAGTGCTCACAATACCTTTAGAGTTGCAGTGTCAAGAATCACATACAGCAGAGCTGCCAGGATCACCCTCAGCATATAAAATGGCATTGGAAATCCAATTCACTAGTTTCATACTTGTAAGACAGGTGTTCTAGCCATTGAATCACCTTCCAGCTCTGGACTATGCATTTTGGAAGGGGTAGATGGTTGGACCATACCCTGCAGTGCTCAGGGGTTATGCTAAGGAGAAACACCTGGAAGTACTCAGGGGACCACTAGGACCAAGGATTCAAACCAGAATTATGCAACCCCCCCCAAAGAAAAAAACCCACTCTTTAGCAGGTCAAAATATGATAATATATATTAAAGAGAGGAAGTATATTTTATGGCTGTTCTTCAATAGTTAGTTCAACATCTTCCCCTGAAATCTTTATTATCCTTGTTCAAATTAATTCTAGTGGGGCCAGAGAGATAGTACAGTGGGGAGGGTGCTGCCTTGCACATGGCCAATCAAGGTTCAATCCCCAGAACCCCACATGATCCTCCAAGCACTGCCAGTAGTGGTCCCTGAGTACAGAGCCAGGAGTAGGCCCTGAGTAGAGTTGGGTGTGGCCCCAAAACAAACAAGAAGAAATAAAATTAATTATACTTCTTTGGGATTAGATAGCATATTTATATTCTATTTATTATCTTCCCTTTTGAACACAGACAACTTGGTAGCTTCTCATTCTGGCTTATCATTACTTTATAGACAAGAACATTGTTTTTTCATAATTGTATTACATGCCCCTAGATGTCTTGCACGTATAAAAAAAATCATTTAAGGGGCTGGAGAAATAGTACAGCAGGCGAGGCACTTGCCTTGCATGTAGCTGACCCAAATTTGATTCCCAGCAACCCATAAGATCCTCAGAGCCCACCAAGAGTAACTTCTGAGTACAGAGCCAGGAGTAAGCCCTAAGCACTCCTGGGTGTGACCTTCCTCCAAAAAAATCATTTGAGGGCTAGGATCATAGTATTTGCCTTGCCTGTGACCAACCTGGGTTCGATTCCTGGCACCAAATAAAGTCCTCTGACCTACCCGGAAGTAATTCCTGAGTCTGTAGAGCCAAAAGTAAGCCCCGAGCACTGCTGGGTGTGGACACTCCCCCAAAATTATTTAATATTTATTTAATACATATAATAGTTGGGCTGGAGCAATAGCACAGCGGGTAGGGTGTTTGCCTTGCATGCGGCCGACACAGCCGACCCAAGTTCGATTCCTCCATCCCTCTCAGAGAGCCTGGCAAGCTACTGAGAGCATCTCACCTGCACAGCAAAGCCTGGCAAGCTACCTGTGACGTATTCGATATGCTAAACACAGTAACAAGTCTCACAATGTTACTGGGCCCACTCGAGCAAATTGATGAACAAAGGGAGGACAGTGACAGTGACAGTGACCTTGTTCCCCCAGGTAATATTTCTTATAAACAGACCTTTAAATTTTTAATATATTAAAATAATACTATATAATGTTAAAATACTGAAAATAAAATGTAATAATTGTAAATATTTTTGATAGTTTAGTCATATAAGGAAACAGATTAATGTCTAATCTTTGTGTGTGTTTTTTTGGGCGGGCAGCAGGCTGGGCCACAGCCAGCTGTACTCAGGGCTTACTCCTGGCTCTGTCTGTGCTGAGGGATTACTCCTGGCAGTACTCAGGGGACTATATGGGATGCCAGGAATCAAACCCGAGTTGGCCGCATGCAAGGCAAACACCTACCTGCTGTACTATGGCTCTGGCCCCCAAATGAAGGTCAATTTTAAGTAAGCCTCCTTTATCTAAGTGATCCCTCCCCACATACTAAGGATGAGATGAAAAATGTGAGTGTATCAATATTACTATATTCTTAGCTATATTAAAATAATCTATTAAAATCTTTTCATTTGTTTCAAGAAACAATATAATCAAACGAATGAAAGCCATCCAAAACACTGGGAAAGGCTATGAGTTTCAGAACCTCAGCATAATGCTAAACAGACTTGATGACTACCAGAAAAAGGTGATGCAGGCCTGGACGCAGAAGCAGAAATCTGTAGAGGAAAAAAGAGATCAGTGCCTAAGGGAAATGATAACCACATTTAGCCAGGTAATCTTTTCTATTTCCTTTCTCCGTGTTCTGTAAATGAAAACAAATAAACCAAAGTAGTAGCACTGTAGCACTGTCCTCCCACTGTTCATCGATTTGCTCGAGCAGGCCCAGTAACCTCTCCATTGTGAGACTTGTTATTACTGTGTTTGGCATATTGAATACCTCACGGGTAGCTTGCCAGGCTTTGCCAAGCTTGCCAGGCTTTGCCAGGCGAAATACTCTTGGTAGCTTGCCGGGCTCTCCGAGAGGGGCGGAGGAATTGAACCCAGCTCGGCCAGGCTGGCTGCTTGCAAGGGAAACGCCCTACCACTGTGCTATTGCTCCAGCCCAACCAAAGTAGTAAACTTTGAAAAAAACAACCACCTGGAGATACCATGTACGTTAGTTCCTTATAGGACCTGAAGCAAATCACCACAACTTGGTGGCCCAAAACAAATAGAAACGTATTATTCCACAGTTTTGGATACCAGTTCATGAAATTAGAGTGTTGGCAGTGTTGGAGCCTTCTGGATTCTCTGAAGAAGAAATCTGTTTTCATGCTTTTAGCCTAGATTCAGAGGTTCCCACACTTATTTGGCCTACTTCCACCTTAAAAAAAAAAATACTCAGCACCGCCTAGAAATCAACCTTTTAAAAGCAAACAGAAAACTCACCAAGTGCACCTGAGGTGCTACTGCCCCTTCAATTGTTCCTGTACCCCCATGTGGCGTGAGGGTGGACACTTTAGGAAAGACTTGCAGACAATCCCTGCTGTTCTTTAGCTTGGAACTGCCTAACTCCAATCTCTACCTCTGTCCTTCCCGTGTCCTTTCCAGTGTGTCTTGTCTTCTTTTCTATCCCACATAAAGCCATTGTCTTGTTGCATCCCACCTGGTTAATCCAGAATGATCTCATCTCGGGGCTGGAGCAATAGCACAGCAGGTAGGATGTTTGCCTTGCTCGCGGGGACCAACCCGGGTTCAATTCCCAGCATCCCGTATGATCCCCTGAGCACTGCCAGGAGTAATTCCTGAGTGCAGAGCCAGGAGTAACCCCTGCGCATTGCCAGGTGTGACCCAAAAAAGCAAAAATAAATAAACAGAATGATCTAATTTCCAGAACAAATAACATTTTTTTTTAAAGAAATCCACATTCACAGGTTCTTAGTAACATGTATTTTGGGATATTCACCATTAAACCCACAATATCATTACTCCAGTTAAATTTCTTTTTTTTTTTTTTTTTGGCTTTCTGGATCACACCCAGGGATGCACAGGGGTTACTCCTGGCTCTGCACTTAGGAGTTACTCCTGGCGGTGCTCGGGGACCATATGGGATGCTGGGAATCCAACCTGGGTCAGCAACATGAAAGGCAAACGCCCTACCCGCTGTGCTATCACTCCAGACCCAGTGAAATTTCTTAATTGGAATATGGATTAGAATGTAGATGAAGAAACATTAGGAGAGAGGGATCCAACATCGTGGCTGTGTTGACACAGGGGCCAGGATCACGGGCCAGAATGGGTGGATCGATCGCAGCTCCCAGAACTCTGAACTGCAGGGCGCTACGGCACAAAAACTCTGCATAATTTTTCAGGAATGAATTTAAGTGTCATTTCCTTCTAAAGGCAGTTTTCAAGACCAGTCTGGCACCTGGAACTGCTGTTGTGCCCCAGGTTTCCACCACAAACGACCTGCTTGAGCGGCTGGGTGGTTCCGGAAGCTTCCTGCTGGCCAAGTGCCTGCACAGTGTCTGCACTGGGCCCAGAACCTGCACAAGACTAAAAGACCTCCTCTGCTGCTCCTGTGGCAACAGATGCAGGCTGCGGAGCTGCAGCAGGACCCCAAGTACCCACCATGAGCAGCTGACTTGGGTGGCTGAGTAGCCCCAGAAACTCGCAGTCACCCAGGCACCTGCACTGGGCTCGAATCCGTCCCAAGACTAAAAGATTTCCATTGCTGCTCAGGGTGCGGGCCACGGAGCTGCTACAGTGTCCCAAGCAGATCAGAGCCGCCACTGCCACCCCGTGCCCCAAGTACCTGTGGGTGCATTCCAGACCCCAAAACTACGTCCGGACTAACTCTGCCACTGCTCCCGTGGTTAAGAGCACTTGCAGTGCTCCAAGTACATCTCAAAAAGAGTGAAGCCTGCAGCATATTATGGATGAAGAATCTCCCTGAGTGCCAAATGCTGGATATTGAACCTGAGGACCAGGGCATGTGTCTCTTGGTCAGCTTCTGCTGAACTGGTAGCTATGACCTGCCCAGAGCAACCGAGTCACAAAAGGTAGCTGTCCTGGCCCGGGTTCTGGTCCCTAGCAGGGCCACTGCTGCCATCACTGCTGGGGCCCAGGGGGTACTACACTGCCAACGGGTCAACCTGGACCTCATGGACAAGATCATCAGCAGCCTGATGGGATCCTTGGACTTCTAGACACCCCAAAGTCACCACTATGTCCCGAGCTAGGCTCCAACAACTTGAGACCAAGTTTTCCAAGAAATTTAACCACTAAAATTTAGGTACATGGGAGTCATGTCCACAAGCCACCTCTGGCTTCACCATACAAGCTCATTTATCAGCCTTGCTCCAGAGAGTCAGAAATAAGTCTTAAAAGAGATTTGAAAAAAAGATGCAGTACATCTTCTCAGACCTGTGCATGACTGAATACTCATGTTTTGGGGGCACACTGGAGGTTATCCCAGTGCCTGCCCTAACATAGCCCCTGGCAGCTGCTTGCTTCCAAAATCCAAAATCATTGCCATGTCCCCAGCTGGACTCCACCGTTTTGAGACAGACCTCACTGAGAAATTACCATGCTGAAAATTCAGGTGTGCAGGTTTCATTACTGAAATCTCTAGGCTTTCTTGGAGTCAGGATGTGCTACCTTGCCCTACTTCCCTATACTCCCAGAGGTCATGGCAGTCACCCCCACAAACCAACTCCTGTGCTACCATGGCCTTCCACTGGCCTTGCTCCAGAAAACCATAAATAAATCTCAAAAGAGATCAAAATCCACAGTAAACTGAATTCCCTGAATAAACATAATAGCCTCTTGTTACCTGTATTGCAAATCATATGCACAAAAGGAAACAGAGAGAAGAAAATTGCCGGCTGGGGGATGGTGGGTGGGAGTTGGAAGATGGTTGGACATTGGTGGTGGGAAGTGTACACTGGTGGAGGAATGGGTGCTGGAACACTGTATGACTGAAACTAAATCATGAACAGGTTTGTAATGGTCTATCTCAGGGTCATTCAATTAAAAAAATTAAAAATTAAAAATATATCAGGAGAGACTCGAATATACTCCATATCTTTCTAGAACAACCCCCATCCATCAGCTTCTAGAAATACAATGTAACTCCTCCTGTTGCTCTACAACAGATTCTTGGTGATTAATTCTCTACTCAAAACTATCAAATTAAATTTTGATATTACAAGTTTACTATAAGAGAATTTATTTAACTTGCCTACATGCCACCAGGTATAGGTCATACTGCAGAACTCTGACATCAGCTCTTTTACTGTGATAAACAGCAGTACTTTCCAGAAGCAATAGGACCTTCCAAAAAGTTATAGCACCAAGAACAGTTATTTGCTCTAGGTCTATGTACTTAGGATAGTATCATAAGCTGAAGTTCCAAAAACACTTTACATAGCCTTTTATTTTCCAAATTCACTTATAAGATTAACTGCTACTTTAGAGATTCAGAAATATTCCTCATTACTGTCTGATCCAAATCAAAGTCATCTGAATTTCCGAGAAAAGTTATATTTTTTTTTCTTCTTTTGATTCCTCAAGGCTTAGTTCTGGCTCTGCACTCAGGGATCACTCCTGGCAGGGCTCGGGGGACCATATTGAGGGCTGGGGATCAAATCTGGGTCAGGAGGGAAAAAGGCAAGTTTCTATAATATACTATTGCTCCAGCACCCAGAACAGTTATATTTCAAACAGTGGCACTATTTTTTTTAATGATAAAAGGAAAAAAGTTATCTTTGATAGTTTTCTGGCATGGAAAACATGGTCAATGCAGATGGAGTAAAGCAAAATAAGTTGGCAGTGTCATGAATGATCTAACAGAAATCACAATACCTGAGTATTTCACAAGATAAACAAGGATATGGGGTGGGGGTAGCACTCAAGAAAGCTAGATGATCAGGTAGATATAAAGGTAGATATAAACGTAAATATAAGGTAGATATTAACGGTAGATATAAACCGTAAAGGAAAAAACAAAAGGAGAAAAGGTAGATTAATGAATAGCCTACACTGTATTGGGACGGTGGTTAAGACACCATTCGTTCTGAATGAGATTGACTGCATTAAAGCCAAGTCACTAAGAGACTTAAAATCAACTCAATGAAAGACCTTAGACAAGTCTCTTAAGGAACCAGGAGTTTCCCCTGAGCACAGCTAAACAAACCAGAAAACAAACATATTTCAGCCTAGGGAGAGCCCAAAATACTTTTCTAAAGTTTCCTTTTCTGATTTCTTTTTTGTTTTTAGCTCATAGAGATGTATGGGTTGAATCTTAGTCTACCCATTCCCTTGATCACTGACAAAAAGCAGACACCTGTAACCAAAGCACCTAGCAAACCTGTCCAACAACCATTCCCAGAAGAACGAATGAAAGAGGACAGAAAATACGACACTTTCAAGGAATTTAGGTATGTGATAAAAGACTGACATTAAATTTCAGTCTGTGTGAAAGCTATGCTTTATTTTTCTGCCCAAGAGCTTCCCTTTCCCACAACTGAGATATGGTGCAGTGAAAACTATATTTGGGTTTTGTTCATTTGCTTTGTTTTGGGGCTACAGCTGGCTGTGCTGAGGACTTAATTCTGGCTCAGTACTTAGATAACTCTGAGTGGTGCTTACGGGACCATATGTGATGATAGCTGTAGCTCTTGGCTCAGCTGCATGTGAGGCTTATTTTATATGCTGTACTATCTCTCCAATCCCCTACAGTGGAAATTCTAACTTAGCTAACTTAACATTAGGCTTATTTACATACATACTACTTAAAGATTTAATATTTGATTTTGAGTTCTTTTAAAAGTGTGAAGCCACACTTACCTTATTAAGAAACAAATTATCTTAGTTTTCTTAATCTTTCAAAAAGTAATATTATTTTTAAAACATTATTGTCTAAAAAGAAAGAAGTGTTAGGGTCAGAGAGATAGTAGAGAGGGTAGGGTGTTTGCCTTGCATTTGGTCAACTCAGATTTTATTCCAGGCACCATATATGGTTCCCAGAGCCCAGTCAGGAATGATCTATGAGCACAAAGCCAAGAGTAAGCCCAGAGCACAGCTGGGTGTGACCCTCACCCCAAAAAGGGGATTTAGGGAAAAAAACAGAAAAATAAATATTGTAGGAGGGATGACCTATATGCAATCTGTATAGTCCATAAAGTTAGAAAAGTAGTTTTTATTTTTTTATGTAGTAGTACTGCTATATATTCAGCCACTTGTTAAGCTGATTGAAACAGGCATAAACTCTGCATTGAATTTTTTATTTACATTTTTTAAAATTTTTCATAAAGTTGTTCACAATAATTATTTACATTCAATATTTCAACACCAATCCCATCACTATTTAATCTTCCCATCACTATTGCTTTGAATCTTTCCACCACCACCCCGTCTTACTCACAGGCTTGTCCTGAGCCCCTGTCTTTGGCAGATGCTAAATAATTTATTTTGTATTGCTTGCCATGAATACTATGAGGTATCATGTGGCTGTGAAAGTGGCCGCATACTCCTGGAATTCTGAAATTTTTAAATATTTAGGGTCCACAAACATGAGAACCTCTCAGTGTCTGTATTGCAAACCATAATACCCAAAGGTAGAGAGAGAGTATGGGGAATATTGTCTGCCATGGAGGCAGGGGGAGGGTGGGAAAGGAGGGGGTATACTGGGGATGGTGGTGGTGGGGAATGTGCACTGGTGGAGGGATGGGTGTTTGATCATTGTGTGATTGTAACCCAAACATGAAAGCTTGTAACTATCTCACGGTGATTCAATAAATTTTTTTAAAATAATAATAATAATAACTAAATAAATAAATATTTAGGGTTCAGAGGCATCTTTGTGGCATGTTTCTCTCTTCCAAGATTCATTTGTGAGTCTCTGAATCATGGCCATTAATGCGCTTAAATGGCACCCACAGACAGTTCCTGTGTGTGACTGCCAGGAAACGGGAGGGGTGGGGAGATGGGGGAAGGTCACCCATACCCAACTCCGTGAAGCCTGGAGTTTTCAGTCACTGATCTGGCAAACCTGTCTTTTTTCTTTTTTTTTTTTTTTAGCGGATTCATTCTCATGCATAGGGGGCTCAGGACAAGCCTGTGAAGGTTGGCCATAAGCATGGCAGCAATTGGGTTCTGGAGGTTTGCTTATGCTGGGGTTCATTTGGGGAAGGTGGAAGGACACACCTGTCCCCCTCTGAGGTGCCCTGGTGAAATCAGCCTGGCGTGAAGTGGGGAGACATCTCTGTAGCAGGCTGCTCTCCTCTGAGTTTCATTTGTGAGTCTCTGAGTTATGGCCACTAATGCGTTAAATGGCCTGCTTTTGATCTCTTTTGAGATTTATTTATGCGTCTCTGAAGCAAGGCCCATAAGTGAGCTAGTATAGCTGAGCCAGAGATAGTTTGTGGGCGTGATTCCCACATAACTAACTTTTGGCCATTTAATTTCTCAGGAAACTTGGTCCCTAGTTGTTGGGGTCCGGCCAGAGACACAGAGGCAATTTGGGGGTATCAGGAAGCCTGAAGGCACCATCAGGCTGCTGATGCACTCGCCTTGCAGGTACAGGTTGACCTGCTGGGTGGTACTGTTCCCCTGAATGGTGGTTTTATTTTTTTTTTAATTTTATTATTATTATTTGGTTTTTGTGTCACACCCAGCAATGCTCAGGGGTTCCTCCTGGCTTTGCACTCAGGAATTACTCCTGGTGGTACTCGGGGGACCATATGGAATGCCGAGGATTGAACCTGGGTCAGCCGCGTGCAAGGCAAACGCCCTACCCGCTGTGCTATCTCTCAGACCCCCTTAATGGTAGTTTTAGATGGTAGTTTTAAAACTTCTCCTAGTTTTGCTAGGTGAAGTTATGGAAATTAGTAATTATTTCATCAAGTTTTACTATTTTTATTTATCTCTCAAGGTATGAATACCTAATGTTCCTTAGTGTCCGGGAGAGAAGATGGTGATAAAAAGGATGGTGATAAAGAGGGGAGAACAGAATCATATTGTTACAGAGGTCAGGAAAACTTTGATCCTTCCAATTACTGTTCTTTAATTCTCTAGACAAGGAGATCAGATGGAAGCCATTTGGAACACTGATCTGTCCACATCAAGTTATCCAATAACAGAGAAGACATCATTAAATTTACTCTGGGATGAACTGGGAGGGTACCCAGATATTCCTCTGCTACTCCAGTTAGATATTCAATCTACTCTCAGAAAATCTCTTTCATCTATTCAGTCACGGTAAGTTAAAGTTCTAAAACCACTCTAGCTATTGGTAGTGTCTTCAGTCACATACTTTTTAGTTTTGTTTTTTGGTTTTGGGGCCACACCTGTGCTCACGACTTACTCCTAGCTCTGCACTCAGGAATCATTCCTGGCATTACTCTGACCATATGGGGTGCTGGGATTGAACTCAGGTCAGCTGCATGCAAGGCAAGCACCTGCTGACTCTCTCCATACCTTTCAGACATATACCTATGCTTCCTAAACTTGATTCTCCTGTAGAATCAGGAAGTTGCCAAAAGTCAATGTTTGAAGTAGACAAGGAGATAAATACCAGAAATAAACTCACAGGTGAATCCAATATTGGTCCTTTAGTGTTTCTCTTTATAGGGCTGCAGCTGTTTCTCCTGGAATAAGAGAAAAGAAACAATAGGGGCTTAAGAGATAGTAGAGTGGGTGAGGTACTTGGCCTAGCATGTGGCAGACCTAGACTTGATCCATAAGGTGCCCTAAATCTTGCCAGGGATGATCCCTAAGCACATAGTCAGGAATAAGCACAGGATGGAATGCTCTCTCTCTCCACTCCCCAAAATAATCATAATCCAGTAACATTTAACAATACTATGAAGCCTAAAACTAATACTAGATAGATATACTTTGAAATTTGTCCTTAAGGGTTTATTTTTGTACTACAGCACAACCACAATGATGGATAAAAAGCATGCTTTTGCCCATATAATTCAGAAGTATGATCTGGAATGCAGTGATCATATTTAGGTCTCTTTTGAGATTAATTCTGTGCTTTTTACTCCAGGATAGACTGAAAGAATTTGGAGAGGATAATTTAAGTGGTCATATGGTTCCACATTCCCAAATCCTTTAAGCCAGATTTTGTGTGTTTGTTTGTTTTGAGCCATACCAGGTGGTTCTCAGGGATCAGTCCTGGTGGTAGTGAGGACTGAACCTGGGTTGATTACATGTAAAACAAGCACCCTGTATGCTGTACTATGTCTTCAGCTCTAAAACAGATTCTTAAACCAGAGAAGCCCTTTCCTTTGTTAGTGAAAAGTTTTGAAATTTGTATTACCTATTTCAGAACAGAAGAATTATTTAAAGTTCTAAACTAAGAAAACTGAATTTTCATAAACTGAAAGATTTCACAGGAACAGTCTGATTTTATCAGGTGAAATTCAAATCCTACAGTAAGAACTCTGTTTGTTTAGAGGCCATACCCAACTGTACTTCTGACCCTGCATTCAGGGATCACTCCTGGTGGGTTGAAGGAATCAAACGTGGTGCCAGGAATCTAATCTGGGTTAGCCATCTACAAGACAAGCACCCTACGTACTGTAGTATCTCTCTGGTCCCAATAAACTATAAAATCACAAATTTGTCCAGACAAAATAGAACATAAAGTAAAATATTTAATATTCTATAATCTGTCACTCTCACTGTCCTCCCGTTGTTCATCGATTTGCTCGAGCGGGCCCAGTAACATCTTCATCATGAGACTTGTTGTTACTGTGTTTGGCATATTGAATACATCACGGGTAGCTTGCCAGGCTTTGCCATGTGGGCAAGATACTTTCAGCAGCTTGCCGGGCTCTCCAAGAGAGATAGAGGAATCAAACCCAGGTCAGTCATGTGCAAGGTACACAAGGTACACACCCTACCCTCTGTGCTATCGCTATAGCCCATAGTAAATAATAGTAAAAATGTTACTATATAATTATACAATATAAAATCATATACCATGAGCATAAATGTTAATGAAAAGAAATGTTATCAGGCCAAAAATAACCACTAGACTAAATAAGTTATAGGGTATAATTAGAAATTTAATTTTTATCAGTTTCCTTTACATATCTGAAGTAAGTAAATCAACAGCCGATTTTGGGTGATAGAATTTTTCATGGCTACAATGGTTGTATAGATATATACGTTTTTCTTTGAATAACATTTTTCATATTATATTCCTATATAACTATTAAATATCTATTGACCCAGATTTTTTCAAAATTAAGGTTTAATTGACTGGGGAGACACATCTGAGTACATGCTTTGCATACTAGAGGCCTGGGTCCATCCCTAGAACAACATAGTCCCCTGAGCATGACTGGGAACATTCAGCACAGAGGAGGAACAGCCCTGAGCTCCACCAGGTTGACTCAAATACAAATAAAGCAAAAACCTTACGGTTAACACTGGTCTACAATATTGTCTATTTCAGGCGTACTGCTTCACACCTCAACAACTAGATATGCCACTCTCCTCATATCACCAAATGTCTTTTACCAACCCCCACTACCTACCTGTTACGCACACACACCCTTCCTCTGATAATCACAATTTGTTATTTCAAGAGTTCATTTTTGGTTTTGTTTTATTTCTCCATTTCATTTCTGGATATGAGCAAGATCATAAATGATTTGTCTTTACTTTTCTGGCTTATTTTACTTAGTATAATTCCTTCAAAAGTCCTTTCATACTGCTGCAAGCAAAATGGCAAGATTTCCCTTTTTTGCATAGCTGAGTATTATTCCATTATATAAATGTACCGTGTCTTAATCCATTTATTAGTCAGTGGGCACTTAGGTTCTTTTCTTATCTTGACTATTAGGAATGATAATGAGCTCAGGGGTTCAAATATTTACAAATTCGTGTTTTTAGAGTCATTAGACAAAAACAGAGAAGTAGAGGAAAAATGCCAAGCCACTAAATTGTCCCAGGTAGATCAATCTCCAGGCTGAGAACTCTGGGGCCTTTTCAGACTCGGGAAGGCCCAGCAGCCCCGACCCACACCTCTGGGTTACTCCAGCATATGAACAAACCAGCTCCACACTGAACCTCATCAAGTTGCCAAGACACCAGATCCCAGCTCCACAGCTCCTGTAGCATGAGGTCGTATATGTGGTCACACAACACTTCCAAATTTCATAGGACTGACAGCCCAGTAGGAGCACAGAAAATTTGATGGGAAAGTTGCAAAGAAACACACCAAGCTCAATGAATGAAAGAAAGTAGTAACAAAGATGACTCAATTAACACCAACCAGCAGGGTAAATTCTAAGACAATGAGTTTAGTGGCACCATTGTGAGATATAAGAATTATCACAAATTGACTCATATTAATCTAAGTTTGATAATTCCATTTGTCATTTTGTTCTAGCAAACAATATGAAGTAAATTTAAGGGGACAGGCTTGGAGGGACACTGGTGAAGGGAAGTTCACATAAGTCGTGGAATTAGTGTTGGAACATTAAATACCTGAAACAACTGAAACAACATAATACAACAGTTATATTACGAACAACTTTGTAAACCACAGTATTCAATAAGTTTTTTTAAAAGAAAAGCACAGATGTGGAATTTCTAGATCATATAGTAGATGTATTTTTAATATTTCGAGAAACCTCCATATTGTCTTCCATAGCAGTAGCACTGAGCTATAGCACTGTCCTCCCATTGTTCATCAATTTGCTCGAGTAGGCCCAGTAATGTCTCCATGTGAGACTTGTTGTTACTGTGTTTGGCATATCAAATACGTCACGGGTAGCTTGCCAGGCTTTGCCGTGCAGGTGGGATACTCTCGGTAGCTTGCCGGGCTCTCCAAGAAGGGCAGAGGAATCGAACTTGGGTCAGTCAGGTTGGTCTCGTGCAAGGCAAACACCCTACCCGCTGTGCTATCGCTCCAGTCCTTCCATAGTGGTAGCATAATTTATATTCCCACTAATAGTATATGAGGGTTCCTTTTTCTCTACGTCCTTGTCAACATCTATTGATTCTTGTCTTTTTTTTAATAGCTTTCTAAGAGGTATGAGGTGATACCCAGGATCACTACCAGTGTTGCTCAGGTTAACCATATGGTGAATAAACCTGGGCATCATCCAGCCCCAAAATTTCATCTTTCTAAAATGTCTTTTTGTGGGGCTGGAGTGATAGCACAGCGGGTAGGGCGTTTGCCTTGCACGCAGCCAACATGGCCGACACAGGTTCGATTCCCAGCATCCCATATGGTCCCCTGAGCACCGCCAGGAGCAATTCCTGAGTGCATGAGCCAGGAGTAATCCCTGAGCATTGCAGGGTGTGACCCAAAAAGCAAAAAAAAATTAAAATTAAAATTAAAATTAAAAAAATAAAATGTCTTTTTGAGGGGCTAGAGAGATAATACAAAGGGTAAGTCTCTTTACTTTTTAACTTTGGGGCCACACCTGGTGGTGCTCAGGAATCACCCCTGGTGGGCTTGGAGGACCATTTGGGATGCGGGGGATAAAACCTGGGTGGGCCATATGCAAGGCAAGTGCCCTACCTGCTGTATTATCACTCTGGCCTGTGGGTAGGACTTTTGCCTTGCAAGCAGCTGACTTGGATTTGGTCCCTGAACCCCATATGGTCCCTTGAGCCTCGTCAAGATTGATTCCTGAACATGAGCCAGGAGAAAGTCCTGGGAACAGCTGGGTGTGGCCCAAAACACTAAAAAAAATTTTTTAAGTCTTTTTCATTGTTTTGGCTTGGGGGCCATATCCAGTGATGCCAAGGGCTACTCCCAGCTCTGTATTCCTGGGTCACTTCTGGCAGTAATTGGGACGATTATGTGCCAGGAGTCTTTGGTTGATTTTAGTTTTCTCTCTCCCAATTTGGAGCTTTAACATTTCTTGAAACACTGGTTTAGTAGTATGAACTTCTTTATATTTTGCTGGTCTGAAAATCACTTCATTATCTTTCAAATCTAAATGGCAGCCTTGAAGGGCTGGAGTGATAGCACAGCGGGTAGGGCATTTGCCTTGCATGCGGCCGACCCAGGTTCGATTCCCAGCATCCCATATGGTTCCCTGAGCACCGCCAGGAATAATTCCTGAGTGCAGAGCCAGGAGTGACCCCTGTGCATCACCGGGTGTGACCCCAAAAGTAAAATAATAATAATAATAATAATAATAATAATAATAAATGGCAGCCTTGACAGGTATTCTAATTGCTCCTTGGGCAGGCATACTTGCTAGAAGCAATCTACCTTGGGGAGATTAGCTTCCTATTGTGTTTAACTGTTTTTATTTTTGCTCTGCCTCCTTTACTTTCAAAAATATTTATTAACTACTTACTACATGCCAGAACTATAACTAGTCTCTGAGGTACAATAAGTGGGAAACATTCAAAATACCATGAATGCTAGACAGAAGTTACTGTACATGCAAAGATCCAGAGCTAGAACCGTGAAGATAGTGCAACATGTTTTGTGCGTGCAAAGCATCTGGGAGGCTCATGGTTTGATCCCTGGCACTGCATATCATCTCTGTAGCACAGCACTATAGGATG